TATATATATATACTCACAGGCATGCTGTCCGTGTGGGGAAACGTTGCATGTATGTGCTAATTTAGGTATGTACTGTTTTTCGCTGATGCTATGTCGTGGTTGTGCACGCACTCTTATCCATTCGAAATGTATTTCAATAGGTCTTCGACCGGCTGCACTTGTGGTCAACTCGGAATCATCTCCCGTTAAACACCATGGTGCTAATTTAGGTATGTACTGTTTTTCGCTGATGCTATGTCGTGGTTGCCAATGCACTCTTATCCATTCGAAATGTATTTCAATAGGTCTTCGACCGGCTGCACTTGTGGTCAACTCGGAATCATCTCCCGTTCAATAAACACCATGATGAGCAGCATAATCATTTCCAGCGTTGAGCCTTGTCTTTGGGAAATTGATTTGTACTGCTGCCGAATGTGGCTGCCACAGACCAGGTGAAAGACCGACGACGGCAAGGGTTTCAGTTCCAGTTTACCAACTATAAACCATGAAACAGCTCTTGATTACACGTGCTTGAGGGATCTGTATGCGGCATCTTAGTCTTAGTTGCTCCTATTGATTTTCTGGCAGCAGTAAGATCTGATGATCTTGGCGATAACCAGTGTTTACTTGGTCGAATCGGACGGCTTGGACAGACAGTTGTAAAAACTGAAAACTCAACTGCATTCTCATGTATTCGACTTCCAACCAGTCTTCTTAATCAACGTGACTGCGTCTCCGGTTGCTTTCCAGTCACGTAAGCTGATACTGTTGAGTTACTAGAACTTTCCGAGGTTGACGAATGGAGTTGCTCTGTTTTGACACGCGTAATGCTGATGGAAAGCAAAGTGCTAATCAACCCTGTGCATTTCATGATCGGGCTGAAGTTGTGTACGCCAGAAGGAAGAGGTTTTCCATCATTGACTGATAGCCGCTTGATCTAAATGAGTCAATAACCAGCTTTTGGGCGGTGGCCTCCGAGTGCTTGTGTCAATGCTTTTGCTGTAAGTTCGTAATGACAAGAAAAAGACAATGTTCTACACACAACTGGAAAATTCGCTTCCCGTCATCCGTACTCTGAACATAAATAACAAATATAATTGTACCGGTCGCCCGGTGAAATCTCCTTGCCGCGACTTTACTTCCAGACCAACTTGCTGTCCTTCGTCGGGTTGCTTCGCGTTGACCCTCTTGGCATGATTGGATCACTGCAGCACGATTGCCACGACAGCCTACATCTTTAGGTTGGGATAAAGGAAAAATGATAGATCTAATGAGATCTGGTCTTCAAATGCCTTACTATGGTCACTAGTGGGTGTTGTGAGCAGTGGTCTGGCTTAGGCAACCCGTACTCCTCTTCATATACTCCTAAGAAACCTAGTTATCATGTGGCTTCTGCACAGGAGGTTCTGTTCACCATCTCGTCGCGGTGCTTTGATGACAGTGAAAGTGAGTGTCCAGTGCTCTAACTGGATTAACTTACTATCGGTTGTTTATACTAGGGAGTTGGCTCAAACCCGATTTCAAAATACACATTGATGGTGTACGAAGTTTCGATGGATGTTAGTACCAAAATTTGACTCAGGATGTTTGGATTCATCCGGAAGCGCATGAACTTCAGTCGCAGCCACTGTCCCCCAGCACAGTAACTCCCCACGTCACCGCGCTGTTACACGGACTAGCCTATTAATCCAAAGACTTCGGGGCAGTGAAGAATCGGTGTTGAACACTAATGTCATGCTGTTGAGGATGATGATGACGACCACATTTATTTGTCTTGAAACTCACAACATCTGATGCAAAGCGTTCCGTTTTTCAACACAGGATCCTCTCCAAAGAGGCTTTTTCGGCGTTCTCGCCGTCAGGCAGATTAAATACCGAACTGCCTTGGCTACAAATCTGCAGGCCGGTGGTACTGATTTGCTTACGAAAAGCGGCTCCACGACTCCAGCTGAATGCAACGTATTAAGACACTATCACCTTCGAAGGCTGCTTTGGCAATTCAGAGGCATCAGATTCGACACTACAGGGTCGCGAGCGGCTCTTCTCGAATGACAGTAGACAGTGTACAGTCAGACGAGTAGACACACAGAAACAGGGGGATCAAACTGTGCTTATTCGTCGTCCTCGCACCAGCTGTTGGGCCCGATGAAATGAAGAGTGACTTTTACTCAACTGCATTACCTGATGTTCTTGGTCGGAGACCTTAACGCCCGTATTGGTTGACTGGCACATCGGATGCACAATTCGGGAGATCGCACAGTTTTAACATGCTGAGGAATGACATTAGTGAACGTCTATTAAGTCTATGCTCTGACCAATAATCTTCCCACCACCGTTAGGTTTCGGCACTCAATAGATGTAGCTCGAGGTTGGACACAGATCTACCACATTGCTACAGGATACCGGTAGATAGTATCCACGCAAGACTGCTATCGAACTAAGGTACTCGTGCTGACTTCGCTGCTGCTGCTGCTGTCTGCATTTAGACGTCCGTATGCCCCTGTAATCAATGAGGATGTTGAACTGCATCAGTGTAGCAAGTGCTCAACCAGTCGAGCATCCTCATCGCTTCTCAGCCACAACCCAAGACTTCCTGTACCGGAGGACAGGTGTACGATACAGTGTGTCATGATGATGTGGTATAGCGTGTGGTTTGCAAGTTGACTGAGCAGCAGTCCACCGGAATCTCGAACGTTCTCCATAAAGACGTCTTTAATGGTGTCACTGTTGTGGTTTGTTCGAACATATGAGAAGGTGTAGTCATCCCGGGTTTGGAGATGTTGGTTGCAAATTCTGACGTACCCGGTCACACTGAGTGCACCTAGTTGTTCATAAAAAAACAGCCAAGCAGGTAGTTTTCAGCTCCCTTACTTCCCCTAACACTCACGCCGTGGTTACGTGGAGCCTCTTCTGGGTCGCTTGGCACTTGAACTGCTTCCGACTGTCATTCTTGTTTTCCATTTCAGTTTTCCGTTTGGATTACGCTAATCCGAGACACTTGATTCACCAGATATCTGCCTGCCATACTTTCGATCTACTGTTGTTCTCACTTAAAGACTGGTCATAATGATGGCTGCACAGGCAGTGAATGTCCACAGCACTAGTCAGATGACGGATAATCTGAGTCGGCATGAGATACTGCAGTGGATCAACCAATGTTTGGACAGCAATTACGGGAAAATAGAGGAATTATGCACAGGTATGTTGATTCTCTTCCTCAAGCTTCGCCCATCCAGGTGCAGCCTACTGCCAGCTCACTGATATGTTATTTCCTGGTATGCTTTCCTTTTACTGATGATTTCCGTTTTAGGCACTCTTGTGTTCAAGAAAGTCAAATTTAACACAAAGTTGGAACACGAGTCAATAAACAACTTCAAGGTCTTACAAGCTCTTTTCAAAAAGCATGGTGTGGATAAAGTCAGTGCAAAACGTAATCCATTGAGCTCTGATAGGAAGTCCCAATAGAGAAATTGGTGAAGGGAAAGTTTCAGGATAACTTTGAATTCGTTCAATGGTATAAGCGATTTTTTGATGCAAACTACGACGGACATCCTTACGACGCCCTGGCAGCAAGAGGTGGAGAAAAGCTTCAAGGTAGTGGCAAAGCTCCGTCAAAGCTTGCCACCGGGCCTCCTAGGGCTTCGATTCCCGCCGCACGAAATGTTCCGGCCAAACAAGGTAAGAAACCTAACACTAGCGACGGATCGATTTTCCTTAGCTTGACAAAACTTCATTTTAAAAATTCTTCTGTTCGCATTCATTTACTCTAGAGTCTCATCACGGGCGACACCGTCACGGTGCATTACATGATGTCGTTAATCTTGCTCTATTCAACATAAATATAAAGTCGTTCAGCTGTATCACCCCTTCGGTGCCTAAATGCCATGCCACCTGACGAAAGCACGAGGGTTGGGATACTGCCAGTTTGACGAAGCCTAGACAGAGGAAGTCGAGAGGCTGAGGTCGGGTTCGAACCATGAACCTTTTGGTCAATAAATTTGCGCTGGAAACACTGAGCCATCTCATTCATTATTCACCATAAGCAATGTGGAAGCAGCAAAGGATCCTGTAGTAATAGTAAAGTATAGCACTCATTCAGCTGCATCACCCTTTCGGTGCCTAGCTCTCATGCCAGCCGAAGAAAGAATAAGGCTTGAGATAGTTCCAGGTTACCCAATCCCTGACAGGAGCAGTCGAGATGCATCATTCTGGTTCGAAGCACGGACCTTCCGACCAGCAATTTCGTGCCCTAACCACTGAGTCATTTTGAGCCCATCCTGCGGTAACCAACTATTGCCGCACTCCGCAGCATCTGCTCCACTGGACGCCCTCACTATTTCCGTAATTTGTTAGATGAACATACTACATTCCTACAATGTTTGTGCATGCAGCTCACCCAGTTGGTGGTTCCCAGAATAACTGACTAAATTTATCCGATTTTCCCGTTCTATCGGTCAACATTTTCGGTAGACAATGAGCAAATACTCGGAGCTGGAGTTGCCCCGACAGGCAAATTGTCATTCGTCCAAAACAGGACTTAGGGACTAATGTCGTCCACATTTGTTGAACGCGAAATAGCAGTAGCATTCGACACATTTAATCGGTCAGTAGTTGTCAGCACTGCCAGGGGTATAAGCGTTGACAGCGAAGACATTATAGTCGGCCAGATTGCAATTACTTGTCTCCCTAGCTAACTCACCTGAAAGCACTTCAGAGCTATTTCCAATCTTCGGAGCCTATACGTACTCGCAATTTCTAAGAAAATTGTGCAGACAGTTTGTGAGTGAATACCGAGTCGGGTTGTCGGATATGTGCTTTGGTGTCCTGGTACTTCGTCAGGTGGATTTTAGACACCTATGTATTACTGGTGTGTTTCTGTCAATGACGATAAATTCATCATATTATTTTGGAAGATAGTAGCCATGAATAGAGACAGCAATGATTGAACTAGGTGACGTTTACCTAGATAAGATTGTTCACATGCTTTTTTATACAACAAGGTCCGGACGGACAACTGGAATGTTTTCATACAGACATCGTTTGTGAACGGTTTTTTTTTTGGGGGGGGGGTTCAGTCGCATTCTGCATTGAGTCGTCCGCATGTGATGACCCACTAATATGACCGGCAAATTATGGAGGCAAGTGCACACTCGGTTAGTGAATAACTTTAGTATGACTGTTGTGCTATAATGACAAATCTTGCCCTAGGTAAGTTCAGTGCTTGGCTATTTTCGTTTTTCGCAATAGTGCCACTGTACTGAGGATATGTTTGCGTTTTCTTCGAGGTGCACCCATGGTGACAGTCGGTACGGAACAAGATTGGTGTGTACGTAGGGGGCGAGATGGCCCAGTTGATTAGAGCGCGAATTTACTGGCCGGAAGGTCCATGGTTCGAACCCGACCTCTGTCTCTCGACTTCCCCTGTCTTGGCTTGGGCAACATTGCAGTATCCCAGCCCTCGAGCCTTTTTCGGGTGACATGGCACTTAGGCACCGAAAGGATGCTACAGCTGAACATACGTAGGTCCGTTTTCGTTTTGAGTTATGCCGGTCTCAACCATCTGAGCTGAATTATCAACAGCCATTCAAGCTCCCACGGATCTATGACAGCACCTCATCCAAAACCATTGTTGTTTAGACCGCTCTTATACCAGCTAAGTTCATGTGGATTTTAACCGTGTTTAACGCCGATGTTGAAGTGGCAGCGGTGATGCAGTACGCTACGGGATTTCATAGAACATTCTATCTAATTGTCATTTATGGAATGCTTCAAATTGTACAAATCGTAGATTCTTGCTCGCTCTCTGTAATGCATCCCAGAGTGTGTCTATTTGACGCGTTCCTGAGAGGAATTCTGGGAGATCTGTTTCAACTTTTAGCACTTCCCTGTAGTTTGCAGCTTGCAGCATGTGCGCACGTCTCGCCTATTCGCGACCGATAGTATCCAATACCAAAACTTCTAGTATGTGCTTCGAAACGTGCATTTAAAATGAACAATCGCGATCACCAGTTATTGTATACATTCACTACCGTGACTTATTTAGAAAGGTGACCCACATGCTCTTACATCCGTCTTCCTCAGTTTATAGCCTGGAGAGTCCCATAGATGTGCTAAGATTGATCTCCCTGATTTTGGAAAACGCTTTATTTCAGAGGTAGCATTCACGTAGAAAAATTACGTAGAAAATTACGATACCTACTTGTCTTTATACGAGCATTATCCGGTAGGCTCCTCTTTACTACTATCCCCTGAGACTTTTCATCGCGGTTGGCTTTCACTGCAACACTTTTGTGCAACATTCTACCAAACACATCGTATCTGTTAAAACTGCGTATGCCATTTTCCAGAAGAGATTGGTACCTCTGCTTTCCTGTCTCGGTGGTGCACTCAACTTTATTTGAAGTATGAGCTTACTGGTTGCAATGCCTCCAACTCTCAGAATATAGTTTCTCAAAGAAGCGCATTCACTGAAGGGAAAGTGGTTTTAATGATACACGGTCATTCCATTTCGAAGGAACGGAATACGGTAATCTTTCAAGTCATGCCCGTGTGAGAATAGGGAACCATTCTTTGATCTGCAGAGTTCAGTCGTCAGTCTCATTTTGTAATATCAGAAATGCGCACCAAAGATAACCGGTAGAGCTAAACTTGGATTTTGAAGATCCTGGCTCACTAAGGATAAACCAGAAGCAGTTGCCACACCCCAGTTTCTGGACAAGCTGATTGTTGTTAAGGTGTATTAAGAACCAGAGTGCCGAAATTACATTTTCCCCTCTCGAGCTAGCTCAATCCGTGGAGATACTACCATAATCGTTCCATTGAGGGAGTATCTTTTTGTGCCCTTTCCTCTACCTACTCACCCCATAGAATCCGGACACTTTTGCCATAAACGTTCACTCATCCTCGCCTCCATGATGTCCTCCGCTTAATTTGCATCCGATGCGATCACGTTGCAGTTAGGCACCTGCCTGTCGGTGTGTTCACTTATTCAGGCTATGTAACAGCCAATGTCACTTATTCTTGTACGCCAAAATAGTACATCTTCCTTGCTTAACGCGTTTTAGAGATGATAGGGTTCTGCTTACTTACAGCATGTGAGCTCATCTTACGAAAGCACATGTCTAATCTCAAAATTCCGCACCTATTCAGCACTTATCTGGAATTACACATTTTGAAGGTTCTAAGTAGTGAGATGGCGGAAATGTAGCACAACAGTAACCGAACTAGATAGCATCGCAATGTGAATAAAATGCATTTTATGTGGAAAGCCGAACGCCATGACAGAAGGTGTGTGATGCAACCCATGTAGTTATCTTCCATCAGACCGGTGGCGAATCAGTTCCTTGGCCTATCTGGTTAATTGTGCTTCACTGTTTTCCTCTAAGGATCCTTCCCTTAATTCTGTACGCCGGTTGGTCACACAGTTGACTTTCGATAAAAATCAGCTTTGGTAACTTCAATGAACTTCCAAACTGTTTTGGAGGGCTTTGGTGTTACCACGTTCATAAAAAGGACAAAGTGTGATGTAACTGTGAATTAGTGGAATGGTTTTGCGCAGTGCCATGAAAATACAATGTAACACGTGCATAAACGTACCCAAAATTCGATTGTCTACGCCAGCTAGCAAATTCCATAGTCATCACCATTATCAGCTGTAAGAACCGCGTACTTGTCGCACAGTGGTTATAGCTGCCATAGTTCCGTTCGTCGATGATTTGAGGAGGTGGGGTAGGTAGCTATGCATTGGAGGCGAGAGCTAATATAACTTGTGAGTAAATGCAGAGTTGTCAGTGGTTTTTTAAGTTGGGAGCTAGGGAATAGAGCTATGCATTGAGGGCAATAGCATGGATGCACGAGCGCATGGACGGCGCGACTGGACCATGTGTGACTGCTTGTAACAGCTGATGTGTCCCGTCTCCGGGTCCCCGTCCAGGAGACGGCAATGACCAGCATAGTTGAGTTTGACGGTAATGGCTTTCATAATTTGTTGCCAAGTCACTGTTTAACCTCTCCTGGCTCGTTTCCACCCTTCGCGTGGTTGTGTGAAGTCGAGGAAGTCGGTCAACTGGCATACGAAGCATGTGGCCAAGCCAGTGCAACCTATGCAGTGCAGTGTGAACAGTTCAATTATCGTGGTACAGGATCATCTGACAGACCTGTAACGGAATACAGCTTTGCGTTGACGAAGTATTTCATCGGAATTCGAGTGCTGATCTTCCAACAGCGGAACTCCACAAGAACTCCATTATTAGGCGAGTACAGGATTACTGGAATGTGGTCTTGCAACAGTCACCTATTCCTGATTGTTTTTTTTACGAGAACGCTTGGTGTTTATGTTACTACTACTCGATCGGTCTTCACCGCTTTTGTATCTTGACTTGCGGTTAATTTCCGGCTGAACGCTGACGCTCATTAATCGTTTTTGAAGTCCCCAAAAACCTTAGCGAATATACACTCATCTGCAAACTAATTTGGTTCTTTCGAGAGACTCACCTGGAACCCAGCTGAATCTCTCGTTTATGATGTTCTCAGGCAACTGTTTCCTAGACACCTGTTATCATCAGTAATTTTTGATTACCTTAGCTTACAGTACAAGGACGTGCTTGATCCTTTGTTATTGGTGTCTGCCACCTTAGGAAGCACGGAATCACTAAGATTTTTATTTGTACGCATTTTTTTCTGTCTTAGTGGTCACCACAATTCGTCCCAGTCAGCCAAGTCATGTCGCCTCTGCCTCTCCCGGCAATCATCATGCTGCTGGTGGGGATTCTGCCGAAATACACGCATTACGACAGCAGTTCGACCAGCTGAACATGGAGGTCAGTTTATATGGCACTGGTCTGCTTCAAACCTCTTGCGTTTTCCGTCAGAAATTCTCGTGTTGCTTTACTTCTGTTCCTTCAGCTGATTACCTGATACCTTGAAGTTCGAGTTAGCACCTAATCGATAATTTTGACGTGTGTTGTGAGCCCTTTCGACAGTGCTACTCAGCAATTATCGAATAATACCGGTGTTAATTATTGTTATAATTACTGTTACAACTTGTTATGGTGTCAGTGTTGTTGGCGACAACCGTACTGTTTTTCATACGGCAATTCTCCCTAACAAAAGAAATCGCACAAAGCTATTTAAATGGTGCACATTATGTATGCCTTTCCCGATCCGACTTTCCAGTATACCATCAATATGGTCTAAATAAGTTTTGTCAGATAGGCACGACAGAACTGCCTGTGCGATATTAGGCCTCACTCGGCAGCAACTACGGAATTAAAAGACCATCCGTGTTCCACCCGCACTGAGTCAGTATCAAAATCCAGTTATTGCAACGCTTTCTTGTTGATCTCATCTTTATTCTTTCGGGGTCGCCTTAGCAGAACTCGACAGAAGCATGCCGTATTTTGCGTGATGTCATTCGAATGCCATTTTGCGATTGAAACATACGCAGCCGCCAGTTTTCTCTGTTTCAGTAGGGTTGGTTAAGCCACGCCTAGCGTATTATAGTAACTGAGGGTACGGAACAGTGATTTCGGCCTGCTTGCTTGTGGTACACATCGCCATGCTTCCAATACTAAGCACTCGAGATGAGTATAATGGTAGTGGGGAATCTTGGAGATTGCATACCAACTTAGGTGAGTAAGTACACATACATCAGCTTGGCTTGCAAGGTAGGACCTCCGTGCCTGAGGAAGGCAATAACGGATTCAAACAAGACCAGCTAAGACCAGTCAACCGGCCGACTGAATTAACAATCTGGCAGCAGTGGTCACCGTGCAGTACATGTGAGTATTCGCACCTATTTCGTTCTGAGTAAATCGAGTCAGACATTCCAATGAGGTTATTAATGATCGAAGAACAAAGTAAAAATAAACTCATCATAAAGATCGTATCCACTTCGGATAGGATCCCCTGCATGAGGACCAATTTTGATGGATCTCTTTCGGGTGCTCTTTCTTAAAAGCGGTGACTGGAGTTTTGTTAATCCAGTGTAGCGCTTTCCGTGAATGCTATACTTTTGTTTTGGGGAGGAATGTAACCAGCCCACAGGTAGATGAAGTTCAGAATGGCCAACAAAAAAGCACATATCAGTAAACAGGATAAAATAAAACGACGATGTGCTGGCGGGAGAAGGAAGGAGCTTAGATACATTTGTATTGCTCCCATGTTAACAACTGCTCGATGGTAGACCTGCTCAGTCAACAAACATTTTGCATCAACAAATATCAGTTCATGTGAAGCACCCTTTCAGTGCGCTATATGTTTCACCGTACCAAAGGTAAAAGGCAATTCGTAACGATCGGTAACGTTACAACAAGGGCGCGGATCGACAGTATTTGTATTCAGTACTGCACGATTCAGTCGCTTTATGTCAGTACCGTCGTGCACATCAGCGTTAAGGAGTCACGTTCTGGTGAACGATTTAGGCCTGAATGGGGATGGACGCCTACAAATCAGTGGTACTTTGGTTCGTCACACACCGGCATGTTGCCTTTGGTTACCAAAACTGCATTAGAGTCAGTGCATCGTTCTGTGCATTACAATGCTTGCAACGGTACAGAGGCATGTCGTACAGGCGGAGTGACTGCCTCGATCCATCACTTTGTTGCCGTGTGTTTGCCCAAAATGCCTAGCTGATATGGAATAAATTCGTTGTTTCACCGCAGCTATGTCCGTAGATTGCTCCCTTTCCAATCACATTGCCTCCATAATTTTATCGTGTTGAACAGCGTGTGTTTAACTGTTCCTCAATGGAATACCATCAAGTTGCAACGCAGGCAAAGCTGTTGTCTCTAGTAGAGTAGCTATGAGGGACATGAGGTTTGTTGAATCGACTTCGTTTAATAAATTGTATTGAGAGCTAGTGGAGTGATGTGGCGACATGGCCCTATGCTCACTCAATAGTTAGGTCGCCTGTAGAATGTTCTGTCAGCGAATCATTACCATTATTATTTATAACAAAATCAGATGAGAATGACGGTACCTCACTGTCGCGCAGCCATATCAATTTAGTCGAATAACACCCTTTAATCGAAAGAAGAAAGAAATGGGAAAGGGATGTGTACCTAGGGCTGACCTATCACAATCTTGCGAGTTGCCTATATCTCCGGCTTTCAGTGGATGGAAACTGACAGCATGAGCGCCACCGGTTAGCCACCATACCTTTCAATGTCTCCGGCCAAGTACAGGGAGGGTCATGTGGACCTCACCATGGAAGGCGTACAACACAGTCAGTCCTGTAGTCGGACCCAAAGAGGTAAATGTTTGATGACACAAGTGGCGCGATTTGGCAGAAGCCATTCTTATCGTCTTACCAACAACAGAATATCTGGGTAAAAAGTTTCTCTTGTTGTTCTCCACACTGTTCCCCGCATCCGTAACAGTGTGTGGGTGCTCTCCACCATTAACTATGGTCTGTACTTTTATTCACTAATTCTGTTCATGATATGATCTCACTAAACCCTTTGAATCGTTCTGCACATGTCATCAAGTACCACGTTCCGTTGATAGTGCCATCGTGGATTCTCGGGCATTAATTTGGTACCCCTACAAAATGGCACCTGGACCCAGTAACGGTGCCAGGATATGGCGTTCGTTATCCCTGTGGCCGTAAAAGGGCTTCACATGCCATAAGGGGAAAATGAACCCTTGGTCAATACTCAGGACCACAGAGGTGGTGTAGGGACCATGTCACGATGAGTGACAGCCCTGGATGTCCAGCGGCAAGAGCAACAAACTCAAACAAAAGCCCGAACTGAGGGAGTTGACGGGTAAGGTCTACCCAAGATCCAGTGGCTGTTCCGGCGGTTCTTCCCTCCACTTCCGCTTCGCTGTCTTACAGTTGGTTCTTGGTCGTTCAAAGGCTAGACGTTCAGCCTCGAACAAAATCAGTGTGGTTGCGGGGGACACGACTGGCATGCAAATTTTGATGCTACTGCTGAGTACTCCGCAGATATAAATCTCCGTTCACGCTACGGCGTCCCCTGTAGGTGATGCACCCGATGCTTGATCACCACGCCCATATCTATGAAACAAGCCACCGCATCAAACTTGGATTTACAGGGCGATGCCACAAAAGTTGAGTCTCCAGAAGGACTATTTATCTCTAACCAGGCTGTTCAGCCACGTACGGACAACGATTCCCATTTTTGCAGCTTACACTGCCAGGCCACTCATTTAGCCCGAAAAGATGATATTGGTTACTAGTCAGATGGGGAGATGCAGATGTCAGTGACTATTCACGACTTTTTCGGCTAAACCATTGATCTTCGGGCCAATAAGATCACCGCCAGCTAATAAACGAAATTTGAAGAGATGGTCTAAACACTTCAGTCCACTTATCCCTCCTTCCCACATCCACCAACCACCCACCAAAGACACTAGAATATCCATGCAGTTGCGACGCCCCTAAACGGATGAACGAGACCACTGAGGTACAAAAAGTCCCCAAGTGAAGATGGTATCTCGGCCTTGTCTCCTGCAGTGCTCAAACCTCTTATCAAATGTTATACTCTGTATGTGACGCCGAAGTGATCTCGGTGGGTTGGGGTACCTCTACAATGCTATCGACGAGCAAGAAAGTTGACAGAACGATGTGGGAACTGTCGGTCAATATGGCAGCCGAACGGGTTCCATATCAGACCGAATCAGGTGGACTTCGGTCCAGGAAGATGTTGCATTGACGAACCACTCACGCTACGCCATGTTTTAAACATCGCTCCGAGTTCCAGGGTCCAATACCCGTTTAGTTGATGTCCGTAGGTATTTGCCTCGGTCAATAAAGAATGTCTTTGGTCTGCCTTGAAAGCTGATGAGGTGCCAGATAAGCTGCTGAATCCCATCAGAGCTTACTAATCCGGCTCAAAGGTCGACGTCCAGTTATATGGACAAGAAGCTACGGCGTTCGCTCTAAGCTCCGGTGCTCGGCAGAGGTTTTTGCCTTCACCCCGATGCATTTCAGTGCAGCAAATGACTGGACAATGTCGCATGTGTTCAGTGACTTCCTTGGGGTACGAACAAGCCCTACCACATTGATCATTTCGGTTAAATCGTTCTGAGCAAAGATCTGTCGGTCACCTTGCTTTACTGATCAGGCACGGATATCCCATCTTGCCTGCTCAATTTCAACGGATCATCCATAAGTAACATACATTCATCTAAGTATTTGGTTCCATCCTCTTCCCCAATGACAGGAAACAGGCATTTGCATCGACAGTTCGAGGAGGACCTTCAAACAGCTCCATCTCGATCTATGAGAATTTTCGGAAATCAGTTTTCGACTGGAGATTCGTGTGTACGCTGCGACCATCCGACCCGTACATACGCCTGTGTGACCCACCTCTCTGAACTGAGGAGTTTCGCAAACTCGAAGTATTTGGCCACTGGGGCCTACGGCGAATATTGAGATTACGTTGGAACAATGGTGTTCATACTGTTCCACGTCTCCAAATTGATCCACTGACTCTGAATACACTTATTCATACATGTCTCCCCCCTACATTCTGAACCGTCCAGATCCTCCCCCAAACCCACCTCCCGCTCAGAATGGCCCGTTTCGCCGGAGGACAGTTGGACACCTTGGCTGTCCACAGTTGAGGCCGGTATTGAACCAATGGGTGTGCATACCCTATCAAGCAATAGAACACAGGCCTTGCTGCCAGTCTTGATTCATGATGGCAGTGATCCGAAATATTTCTAGAGCCAGCTTATTTCCTGCAGAAGGCGAAATTCGCAGTAAATCCAAGTAAATCAAAGCTTTAAAGGCCGGGGAGATCAAGACCATACTTCTGAACTTCAAATTAATGCCTCAAATCCACTCGACTTAGCTAGATGGTTATTATTATCACTGTCATTACTGTTGTTATTATCATTAACCTTGTTATTATTAGACTTATTCCTCTTTCCCAGTCTTGAATTTAAAAACAGCTGCCGCAGGTCTTGTATCTCCAAGAAGTTTCATAGAAATATTCAGTAAAAATGTAAATCAGCCAGATAATGCCCACGTGGTAACTTACCTAGATAGTTATTTTGCCCTACCTGTCTTTGTATGCACAACATGGTTGTTAAATAAGAAAACGAGTTGCCTAGACGTAACATGCTACTCATAAGGCCACTGAAAATTCTTAGACAGCCCACGACCGGTTTCGCCCTTCTCGGGGCTCATCAGATAGGTACAGTTCCAGCGTTCCCGTCAACCTTATGTTCTACTTGAACCCAAATTGGAATTATCTCGACAAATGCACTCATTTACATATCAACTGGGTTTTCACGGGAAACTCTGTTGAATCTCTCGTTTATGCTGTTCAACTGAATGTGCACAACTGAATTGCACAAAGACAGCCTCATGCTTCAGTTGGTACGATGTCGCAATATGCTATTATGATGGTAACTACTCACGCGGTTGCTGAAAACTCTTCGACGGCCCACGACCGGTTTCGCCTTTCTTGGGGCTCATCAGATAGGCTCATTCTCCGAGTTTCCGTGAGCCTCACGCTTACTTGAACCTACGAGGACAACATAGTCCGATAGGACCACAAAGTAAATGTCCTCGTGACGATTATCCCTCCATACAGAAGTCAGCGTGGTTCAAGAATGCTTTACTTTTAATGGTGCTATTCTAACGGCATTCCACTGTATACAGTAATTCCCAAAGATACACTCTCCTGCATGAGACAGGTACCCAGTCGCTTCTTTTAACTAAGATCACACACTATGCAGCAGCCCACACAAAACACTTGAGGATCACCAGAATCTGATGGCCTCTGTTGGGAGAGGGACTTCTTGTAGTTTCTGTGGCTCATTTTGGTGAGTGCTTGGATCATCGAAGTCTACTATTAGTACACCAATTGCCCACTTGACCGACAGTTGTCCATCGGTTTTCTAATTTGTCCGTATTACTTTGCTAAGCATCTTTTAAGGCATCAATACTGGCATCTAACCACAATCACTGTTTTCTGTTCACATAATTCGAACCCATGGCTTTAGAAAATTTTTGTGAATTTACAGTGAACCACTCTTGGTATGAGTAGGTTCCATAATCTGTCCCGTAATGCGTCATTATTTTACTCATCTCGTAAGTCTTTTTCAATTTGCTTTCAACACCAGGCCAACTGGACTTTTTTTTAAATTCTATGAACACATTTGTCGCCATGAGGTGAAGTATGATCAAATTACATGATATTTGACCTCATTTTTGTTCCGGATGGGTGCTGACAACTTGATTATTTTCGCCTTATTGTGTGCAATCATGTTTGGCAAAATCAATGCTTGATTTTTTGTTTTACTTGAAACGTTGTAGGAATTCAAATCTATAGTGATACTTTTCGAGCGGCAGTCGTAGGGCTGTCTTCACGACACATACTCATCTTAACCTTGTGCGGCTACACGATCGTGTGAATAGAAATGGCTCTGTGGATAGAGCGCGAATTCGCTGACCGGAAGGTCCGTGGTTCGAACCCGGCCTCTGCCTCTCGACTCCCCCTGTCTAGGCTTGGGCAACTTGGCATTATCGCAGCCCTCATGTTTCCTTGGTGTGGCATGGCAGTTAGGCACCGAAAGGGTGCCACAGCTGAGTGATTTTGATTCGTTTTTTTTAATAGAGTCCGAGGCAACAAGTCCGGAAGTTCACCTGCGGGTCGCAGGGAGATTCCTTATTTCGTACTATATCCAGTGGCTGTCACGTGGGTGTTAATTTTACTACTACTACTACTACTTCGTGTTACCAACAACAGTAACAAAATATTGACTGGCTTCTTGATATGTACTGAAAAAGTTGATGGAGACTGAAACAACAAATCATTTCACTGCACCATCCCCATAGCCACCATAATATAAAAAAAACACCCCTGAGCGAGATACTGCCAGATCACCTAGACTGGGGCAGCAGCGGTCGAAAATTCAGTTCGATTTCAGTTGGGAGCCCCCAATCCGTGTTTCGGTAAACCTGTAGACTGAGAGGCCAAGTCACGATTTGCGCCACTGTTGTGGAGTGTTTTTCGTCCAGTAACGTCTGTGCAACACATTTTGTTTCTTCTTTTTCGGAGGGAGGTATGCTACGAAGTCTCCTTATCCAGATATCGATTGGAACCAACAGTGGAAGTTCGATCATTTTGCTTCTAATTTGACTGCCATCAGATCAGTTAAGTTTGATGAATCAAATTATTGACCTTTTACTTCACAAGTTGGTCGCTACCCTCTTTTCAACCCTCTGGAGCAGCTGATCAATCACTTTCGCTTTCTAGGTAAACAGTTGCGTGTGTGACATTAGCCCAGATGTTCAGTTTAGTTTTGGGCGTCATAACTCGCCACATCTTCGATCTAAACTGTCGCGTTCGGATGAACGTAGTCTTTCGGAGCGTGACCAGTTGCTTAACCGGCGATCCTCGTTTGTTGTTTTTGTCACAGGCTGAACAAAACAAGGCAACCATCGAAGGGTTACTCCGAGAACGTGACTTTTACTTCAACAAGCTTCGGTCCATTGAAATCCTATGCCAAGAGAATCGGAACGTTGATTTGACGAAGAGCATATTTGAAGTTTTGTATGCCACCGAAGTGAGTGACAGCATGGATCAAATGGTTGTTTTTGCCAGACTGTATAGCCCAACCAACAAAATACTTTGGTGCATCTTCGTTCACAGTCCATACCAACTCCAGTTTTCAGATAATCCGCTCTCCTCAGTCCTCTGCTTTTCTGGTTTCACCATGTTAATTGTTCCGCATAATGAGATATATGACTTCACCTTGATGGTACCGTTTATACTCGTCGAGATGGCTCTAGTTAGAGCACGAATTTACTGACCTGAAGGTCGAACCCGATCTCCGTATCTCGACTTCTGCTGTCTAGACTTGGGCACCTGCCAATATCCCAGCCCTCGTGGTTCCTTTGGGTGGTATGGAAACTAGACACCAAAAGGGTGCTACAGCTGGACGATTTTCTTTGAACTCGTCGTTCGCCTACATTTACGCTACCATGTGGGTAGGAGGTAGGCAAAACTCAGGTAGACTGAAATTACTAACTTCTACACCCCCTCACCACCTTAGTAAGAAAACGAGCACCCATTTCATCAAAACGAATCGGTCCTGTACAAAATGATGACCGATTCAACCTGATCGGATACAGTGTCCTATCCATTCCTTTGAGCTGAAACGAAATGAGAACAAACAAGAATGCTGTTCTTGGAGAAACACTGCTTTGTGTACACTGTTCGTCAAAATTAGCTCCTTTTTCTTTTTGGTGGAACTCAAGGAGAGGTGAAATCACCCTAATTTCTAGTGTCACATCTGAGGAAAATTACTGGCGAGACATTTGCATGAGATACTATTTATTCACCAACGCTACTTGGAGTATTGATCGGCTGAGTGACGAATGGAAACACGCACAAGCGGTGGTGCGCAGTTAAATGTCACAATTGGCTGGAATGTATGATCAACCGCTGCGCTGTTTACTAACCGTGAAAGCTGTTGTAAATCTTGCAACTTCGGTGGACAGAAACTTCGAAACCATGTTACTCTAAGCACTAGAACAGTCTCACAACCACATATAACCTAATGCTGAGCGGTTTAACTTAGTCAATAATACGAAACATGGATTCAGAAGCATCACTTCTCTTCGATAACACCATTAGGCTATGGTATTTAGAACCGTCTATTCTTAAGATTGTGTCGTAGGTTAGTCACACATTCTCCTTTTCTCTCTTTTCTTGCGGGGGTTGGTGGATGTTGAGAGCCGTACATTCACATTCTTCGCGCAATCGCACTTTCAACGGTCTCAGAAGTTAAGTGGAACCTCCACACCCGCGCAAGATGTAGGTTGTCTCATTCGATGCAGCGACCATGGCCCAATATTTACCGTTTTTACCACATTCTAGAAGTCAGAATCGGAAGAACTATAGTGAAATCGGCTTCCATAAGCCCGCGTTCTCTGAGCATTTCTAATATCTGAACATAAGTATTTCGAACGCGGATATTGCAGTCAGGTTTGCTCGTGCACTGGGATTCGTGGAAAGTGCCTGTCAGCTACCTGAAACGGCTAATTTAGGGGTCGCAAATCCGAATTTCATCTCATCCATATTCTCTTCTTCCTCTTTCGTCATCTCGGTCCTCCCCATCATCTTCCTAGTCCTCGTCATCATCAGCAGTAGATCCTGGCACTCAGTTACCATACAACCCAGGAGAAATAATTCCAAGTAAGCAATGAAAGGAAAAGGGATGACAGATTATTGGAGCAGCAGTAAGCGGCCGGAGGTGTACACTTTGCAAAATCTCTGAACTGAGTAAACCGTCATCAGCGGCATTGATCCACTCACTGTCTTTTGCAAAACTTAATCCGTAGACAGTCGTTAGATGATGAACGAACTTCAGCTAGACAGTCGGGTAAGGGGTAAGATGACAAAATAAGGTCTGCTTCTTGCCATTTCTTGTAAGTTTTCCTACATTAGAAGAGGCGGGTCACATGGGACTTAAGTAGGAATGTGCAAAAATCCCACGGCGCTCAACTCAACAATAGCCGCCTTCATTTTCCCTTGCACAGCCATGGCTGTTCTTCTCCAAAGCTTCGCCAACAAGGCTTTGGTTTGGAGAACACCGATTTCTTCGGCAGGCGATAGGTTCACGTATTACGCACCCCAACCACTTTAAAGTATCAATCCTCATCAGTTGCTCTGATGATTCCAACTCAATGCCGGACTACTTCCTTGAGGACACGGTGCGGTCACTTAGTGCCATATGTGCTAGAAGCCTTCGGTGGTCACACATTTTAAGATGGTCCAGACATTCGGGGTGAAGGAATCACAAAGTGAGCCGTGAAGTACAACTGGTCTCATAGTTCTTCTGTAGTCTCCTGTGTCTGATGCTGACCAAGACGCAGGTGAGCGAATATTGTTTGTGCTCTTGATAGCAGTACGCCACCATAACAGCCTATGCGGCCGTCAATGTTTGCAAACTGACGCCTCTAATTCTGAAGTTTCGAAGGCTCTGATCCTGGAAGGTGCAAAACGTGTACAAAAACGACGCCACTGCTTTGGACATTTTCAGTAGGGCAGTGTGTGGAAAGGCTTGACCGTCGAATAACAAAACGATATCGTCGGCTTGGTCAAACCTCACTAGCCTTTCTCCCGATGTGATATCTACAGTTAGATTTACAGTCGCTTGGAGGGCGCACTTTGTGATGATGTCTGTGACCAAAGTGCACGAAATTCAGAAGGAAAGCAATCTTGACAACTCTCAGTAGTCGTGTTAAGACTTTTGGATCATAAACCTCAATGCCACCAGAAGTATGAGAATAAAGAGGGCAATACATTTCGAACCTTCTTGGACACTTCATGTCGGCCTAGTGCATGGAGGGGAGCTTATCAGTGTACGGAATCGAAAGTATGTTCAAAGCCTAGAAGACTTCCACTGCTGGAGCACTTGACGTAATGTGAATGTGTAGCCAAAATATCCCCTTCCGATTCGAAGTCCTCCATGACTTTCCCAAGTGATGGTCATGGTGTTGTTGGAACCAAGGCGAAGGCTTATTCATATCCAGTTGCTTCAGGTACCATTCTTTACTAAAAGTAGAATGATTGTTTTGCTCCAGTTTTCTGGGACATATTTTTTCCTGAATTCGTCTAACCAACTTCGTCAAAATCGAACACAACCCCTTAGCTGTCTCCTCGATTAACGCTAGTGGGAACCCGTCTTGTCCTGCTGTTCGATGAATCTTATCTCGAGGCTGTGAACTCATTATAGTACATTGGGCATCATTGCATGGAGAAGGGTCTAAACTCAGGTCATTGCTCAGATCGAGCGGGTCGATTGAAACATATGCACATATGTAGATCGACTAAACCAAACGGATGACTTTAGTTGAGTTTTTTTTCTGAAATTAACCCCATATTTTTAATATCCAGTTCTGTTCTGAGAATATGTGGATCGATATCCATTTAGATGTCTGAGTGTTTGGCATTCGTAGATGTCAACGTCTGTGCAAGACGAGAGTCACACCTCCGGTAACAACCCTATGTTGTGGAGCAAGTATTTTTCACGTGATCAGATTTTGTTGCTTGAAGCCGTACACGTTACGACCTAAACTGATGGTAGTTTGATCGTCGGACCGGTTCCAAATACTGTCCTCGTTTTACTTAGCATTGTACTTTGAACATGTTGACTCGAGTTACTGCACGGCGTAACATTGGACTTCACCTTGAAGAGCTATTTATATGAATCCGGTCAACGGCGATTTCGTAACATGTTCGGAATTTTCGAAGGATTAGCTATATTTTTTAAATTGGAAGTCGCGTGATGTTTGAAGTGACAAGTATCGGTCGACTGGCGAATTGAATCGCAGACAGTTATGGAGCAGAAAGACGCTAGAGTGACTCCAAATTTCACGGGTTCAGCAATGATGAGACGTAAGGAACGGGGGCGGTCACGAGTCTTAGGCCATGGCTTTCACAACTTCAGTAACATAACTGTCAAGGGACGATGGTTAACCTGTTGAAAGAAACATCCGCTAACAATGCAGCAACAAATTGGTTTAAAGTCTTTCATCAGTGCATCAGTTTATACGTTATACTAAATTATAGTATTATTATTGTGTTGTTACACCGTATTATATTATATAGTATAGTAAATCATAGTGGGGGCGTGCAAACTGCAGACTTATCGTTGACGGGTGACATTTAACACTGCCTGATAACATCCAGTCCAACCTGTTGAAAAACTGCGAAATGGTTGCATGGATCTCAGTTTGGACTGTGGCTCGTTAGCTGATTTACACAGCTGCAATCATCACCGGTTTCTCGAAGCCATCTCACCTGTTACATTTTTACGATGAGATTTGGAAGTTTATATTCCACCCAAGTATACTGGAAGTACGCTACAGTTGTTCCAATCTAATTTGGAAGCATCACCCTTGCACATCTCGTGTGTGTTCAGGGAGATTTAGTGTTCTTATTGCTTCTTCTATTGTCCAGTAAATGCACAGAAAGGGTGAAAGAAAAGTATATAACTATCGGTCCGACAACGGGGTACAGTATGTTGACAGAGATGACTGAAAGAACAAAGCCGGGTGAAGCAGTTTCGACTTAGATGGAAGAACACAGTTGACGGTGGACAGTTACTCGATAGCAGTAAAACGGAACAGGGGATGTTGCATCGAAAAAAGAGTAGGATTGAGTGGTACTGAAGTGAATAATCTAGACTTAGATACAATCCAGGATTGATTGGTAGGTGGGTGGAGCTCCACCCCAGATTTACTAACAGTATTCCAGAGTAAGGCATATCTAATATTTATGAGGTACGTATTGGAACGAGTAAGGTAATTGCGGGCGCGAAGAATAAACCAACAGGATTGCTGTGGTAGGTCTGATATAAGCTGACCAAGATGAGTTGTGGGAAATGTTCAAACCTGTCACGGTGAATGTGGGGGGGGGCGAGATGGTTCAGTGGTTAGAGCGCAAATTTACTGAACGGGAGGTTCGTGGTTCTAACCCGACCGCTGCCTTTCGACTTCCCCTGCCTAAGCTTGGGGAACCTGGCGGTATCCCAACCGTTGTACTTCCTTTGGATGGCATGGCAGTTAGGCAACGAAAGCGTGTTTCAGCTGAACGATTATTGTGATTAATGGGGGTTAGTGAGAATACAACCTGGGCCGATTAAAGTAGGTGATTCAAAAAGCAAGGTGTAAGGGGTGGGGTCGACGAATTTAGAAGGGTTGAATGTTAGTAATGTTCATAATACCTCAGTTGCGAATTTTTGCTAGGTTTGAGTTCACAATACTGATCGCCTGTACACCGCCACGCGAAATCTGGAGGCGGTTGGGGCTTTGGAAATGATGAAACGGGACATGGTAGACAGTTGCATCGTCAACAAACGTGGATCCCTAAAGAAACTAACGAAACAGACAGTCGATATGCGATAATAGAATCATAGGATGGGTGTTCTGGAAAGCTCCAAACAACCTACAAGTAGTAGAAAATTTTCCAAGAAAGGGAAACACCCAAAAAGTTTTATAAATCTTCTGGGATGGTTGATCAGTGAACATGAGATCACTCTGATTGAAGAGTATTTTATGCCATGCCCTACCCAACTGTACGTTCATTGTTCTACTTTTCACCCATCGGCAGCCGAATACAACCGTGTTCAGCCTGCTATCCAGAAGGCTCGAATCCACTGAGAGTTGTGCAGTGATTGTCCAATAGGAATGCAACATACATGATTTCGCTTTTCAGCGTTGATCCCATTTACTGATTGGGGGCACATGGAACCTGGTATTCGGTGAATCGGTATCGCGATGTGCCGAATTGCCCTTTGTTGATAGTAGTTGACTCCAGTCGAACACTTTTTTTCTACCCACCCAGCTATTGCCTGTCGATCAATCATTCCGTTCATTCACATTCAGTGAGTAGCCGTCTCAGTGACCCTCAATGTCCAAGGAACCTTTTTCCCATTTTAGTTATCCTGTTTCCCTAGACTGAATTTGGCTTCCCTTTGTATTGCTTTTGTACTACAGGATGGATTCGCTGCCCCAGAAGCGGATGAACCGGAAGAATTCTAGGTCAACTTTTTTCCACTTCCTATACGAACGAACATTTCTCTTCGGCTTTCACGTTTTATTCCCGCTACCCTACTACTTTCGTAGCCCGGTACCTGTTGATCCATTGCTTCTTCTTGACATCCAGTGTCTCGGTGGTCTGTATCGGTCTTTGGGCGTATGTACATCTATCTACTTTTACTTCAGCTCTTGCGCTGCTGCCTTACTATCACTTCGATCAATTTATGTTGCCTCATTTGTGTAGGCGTTGTGCATGCTGCACTTTGTTGTACGTTGCTTACCAGCTCTACTTGTCTCAATTGCGTTTACATCATGTCTCTGCTTCCACAAAGTGCGTGGTTTCACGCATGTATCGTGGGGCGGGTCAGTCTCGTTCCGTTTCACTTCTTATCTCTGATTTTGGCTTGTTTGCTGCAATGTATGTTTTCAATGTTCGGATCTCCTCTGGTGGGAATCAGCTTCACACTCCCTCCAGAACTTGTTCATACTGTTCAAAGGACCGCTCAACATAATAGTTTAGTTTGCAGTGGCTTGGGTTCGTGACACTCATGTCAAAAAACCGCATCAGCTACGTCTGGCAACAGCAGATCCATACACCAAATATACTCGTATGATTCATTCACACTTCTGAGTCTATGATGAGCCTTTTTGGGTACACTTTTCGCTACTGACTCTCAAAGATTGCAATGGATTCCTGATAGTTCAGTTTTGGTGAGCGTTGTCCAGAAAATCAGCCGTGTTAGCTGATATACGAACTAGACTTCAAAGTTAGCGTGATCATCTTGTTAGCTGCTAAACGTCAATGAAGGCTTTTGGCCTGGGCCTCGTGATAACTCCTGTCCCCTCAGGTTTATTGGTTGCATTCTGTCCCGTTAGGGTACTTGTGAGAAAACCTCAAAAGTCCTGTTCAGCTGGACGAATTACACTATCCATGATTACACACAAGCGAGTCTTATATGGCTCAAGTTGCAAGATCATAATTACTTCAAGTACGGTGTTGCTTGTATCTTCACGACTGAAAAAAATGTCCTCTTGTTTTTCACGGTTAAACAGGCGAAAAGTAAGAATTTCTCTGGTGCCCTATGTCGGTATGCGAATCAGGTTGGTGAGGAAAGATAAGGCTCTCTGCGGTGTCGAAGTGGTTCCTTGTTGTAACCAGTTGCTGATTCACATGGTTAACACGACTACTTATGATTAGCCAATAATTGTTCCGGGAGTAAAAACGAATCATTTGTTAGTAACAATTCTGGATTTCACTCCGTTTGCTCCCCGTGCTGAATGATCAGCAGTAAGCATCCCACGAATCTCTGCAAAGATTCAAACCAGCAGCCTTACACCCTGTATCATTCACATCCAATGAAGTTACTCACCTACATCAACTAATTAGCATGAATCAAATTCACTGACACAGGTCGTGTAAATGAATCCCTGCTGTTGAACACAACCAATGACGACAAATCTGGTCTACCTAGCTTTTCACGAAACGACCACATACTTCTTCTTCGAGTCACAGTTATAGGCTATATTTTTTGCATTCACCTCATCCCAGTTAACTAGACTTCCGGCGTTCGATGCAAATCTTTGAGCTGCATCAACGGTAAGATCCAAAGTCGCTGACTGTTTCTTAAGTCGCTGATTCTTGGTTAGCCGAAATTCATATATGGTTTACAAACGCTTCCTCACCACCAAAATTACGAATTTCGGCTAACAGACCGACAGTCCACTGATGAACAACCAAAACATGGTGATTAGGTGGCTTTCGCAGGCCAGCACATGTGGTGGATAATTCCTGAGCACAATCTGATGCCTTGACGTAGGTAGGGCGTGACCCAGAAGAGTATGTTGCCTGGAACTTCGTTTCACGGGGTACACCTGTGCCAGCGACGCCAAAACGGAGCAGTTAGGCGAATAGCAACGAGACTGTACTATGAGCAATGGTATACGGGTAAATTCATTACCGTACGAATGTGAAGGGTGCTTCCACTAAGATGAGCAGCATGTCCATGTTTAAAGAAGCAGTGAGGATGCTTTAGCTAGAAAAGGCCAGCCCTTAAGCCCGCACAACAGTTGCCCGTGACCGCCGGCGAATTGTCGAATACGGTCGAACCGCGATAGCCTCAGGAGTGAGACGTATGTTCATAATTCTCTGCACCCTAAGGCTAGGCCTGCTACCGAGCAGACCAGACAATGGGGTCATCGGCTATGAGCCGGATCAGAGGCTAGGGGCAGGATCCCGAACAAACCTTTTATCCTGTCACCGCCTAGTGGGTCAGAATTGTGCGTCAACGGCTTCAACTAAACTCCTCGGCCCGGGCGACCTTGAAGTATCGTTTGACCCTTTTACTCACTAGTTTTCGTTCATACCCTACAGTCAGCTGTCGCTGTCATTGGATTTTCAGTTACGAAATAAATATGCCTTCCCCCGCCGCTGGGCATCAGCAACAAACAAGATAACACCGGTAAATCCAGGACGGACTTTCTACATAGGAGTCTTCATAGTCTGTATTCTGTGTCCAATTCGCAAGCAGGCGGTGCTCACGCAAACTTTACACTGTCGTTTGGTGTGTGCTGTCCCTGCACCAGGCATTTAAAATTCCGCTATAGTTATGCATGACCTCAGTTTTTTTACCACTTCACACTGTATGTTTGGTGATTCAGGCATATGAATTGGGAGTTCTATTCAGATCCAGCCTGAACGCGTTTTACTGGCTTGGATTCTAACAGCCGCTCGATTCTCCATCTCAGTAAAGCTCGCTACCACTGAACATCAAGGCCGGTGCATGTTTGTATTGTCCCAACAAACGGCAGTTCTCACGCTGAAAATGACATTCAAACCGATTGGTCAAGCAAGAAACAGGGATCTTGTCATGTTTTCGGGTGATGCGAATGCTCATTTTGGTGGAATTGCCAGGGTAGCTGAATAGAAAACTAAGGGCGACTTATCCAATTGTGCACTGACCATCAACCGTCTTTGAGCCGGCGCGAATTTTCGACACAAAAGCTCGCACATTTTAATCTGGCGGGCAATGAGTATAAGAAATCCATAGACCCAGTAGGACCAAGCGGCTCTCATCCACAGCTCAAGATTGCCGCTCCTTCCGGAGCACACAACTTGATTCCCAGATCAAAATAGTGCGAGCGTCTATGGAAACTCGTTTTTCAGGCCCTTGCAAGTCAGCAAAAAATCTGTCAGCTCACTACCTTTGAAGTACTAGCGTAGTTTGGCAGCGTTGATATGAGCTAGCTCAAATGCCCTCCGCATTGCTGGTTACGATAAAACATGGTGATATTTAAAAGAAGCCATGCTGGAGGCGTTCGGATGTGTCTATCCGATTTACCCAATGAAATCGTCAGGACCGTCATCCCTGGTTGATGCTAGGAAATTTATACGTGCAGGCAATGCACGCGGATCTCTCAAATACAAAATAGTGGAGAGTCTAGAACTCTGATGGACAATACAAGTTGAGATGGACAGATCCTTAGCCAACGGAAACAACCGTCTCTTATACCAGTTGGTACGATTGAGTGATCAGAGGTAAGCAGTGATCCGTGAAACGATAAGTGAAGTAGACGGTTCAGCAATTCACTCAGAAAGGCGCCAATAGGAAAGATGTTTTGGAGAACTTTAAAAACGGTCGATCTGATCCTCAGCTAAAACTTATGCAGCGCATTCAGCCGATTGGGGTCTATCAAAAAATGTAATAATTTTCGAAGTTTATTAATTGAAACCGGAAACGACACGAGGTTCAGACGGTTTCATTCAGTCCTCATTGGTGCTGTTCATAATGAATTAGTATTCGCAGAATGGGGTACTTTAACAATTATATCCTTCCTCTAGTAGGCGAAAACCCTCGCCGCACTAGCGGGGTATCTGTACCAACCAAGCTGTTGCTTTCATTACACACCACCTCCCGACTTCCCCAGTGAAAGGTCTACTGCCGCCTCACAGATCTATGCATCAAAGGACGTCAGCCACCGTCTTCAATGCGTAGCTATTTACTTTTATTTCTCAGGTCATCGGTAAAAACTTATGTCAGCCTCTGTGCGCTGCTGATGGTAAGGATCTTGATGAAGCGTAAATTACATGGAGGAATTTTGTGTGCTGTTGGCTTATTAGATTGCCTACATCACACTTAGGACCAGATCTATTGTTACAGAGAATTCGGATGTGCTCTTAGAGTAGATACCTCTTGTCGTATAGAGAGGCAATGTGAGTCAAATGGAGCGTCAAATAATATGCTTGCATGCTCCAGAATACAGTGGTTTGTGGATCTCTGCCCCTGGAAAGTTTCTGTATCGGTGTCATTTTTCGTGAAACCATTTAGCCAGCAACATTCTGTGTATCAAAGACCGATGTGGCTAGACGCGAGCTGAGCTGCATCTAGCTTCGTGATCAATTTGTTACCGCAAAAATATTGCTTGAGTCCAAACGAACCAGTGGCTAGTTACATCTCTTTATTTGTTTCTTATACTGATGCGGACACCTAAGTTATGCACTCACGAGTTTGGCTTTTCTAATTAGCCGCCAAAGGCTATACGCCATAAAACACGGAAGTCTTGAGAGGCTTACTTTCGTGGCAGCCAGCGTACAGATTGGATAGAACTATGATACCTTTAGCGTGATGTAGCGTGGGCCATTCTTCATTCACGAAATTCTCACATCACGTGTTGACTGGCTTGCCAACACGTGACCACATGATATGAATTCCGTGATTTAAGGATGACTGGCGGTATATCCTGTCTAGCCACAAGTTTATCACACCAATCAACCACCCGTGTTCGAGCGCTTTAGTGCGCAACTACTAGCCGGCAAGTCACGGGTTCGATGCTCGTGAGATTTCCGATGATTCCAGCTAAGGATGAAACAGCTGTGGACTGTTTTTCGGCACAGATTGACTTCACTGGACTAAAATTTCCAGGTCTCATAATATCAACAAAATATGGCCGCCTGTGCTTCACAATTTCGGTAGTTCGTTTTACGCCTTATAGTAGAATGTATGTTTCCTTTTGGCATCGAAAGGCCAGATGTTTTAAAAAAAATTCCGTAAACAATGCCGTTCAACGAGAACATGGTCAGTTCTGTGCGAGTTTCCAATCTGTTCGACAAGCGGATAATTGGTATGGACCCTTCGAGACCATATTATCCAAAGTGCTATCTAAATTCACCCTGATCGGTCATGAGGCACGTCTGGTAGAAGGACCAGCTGTCTAACGTTAGTCACACTTCTCACATCCATTTAGTTGTCCGTCACGCTCCATCTGCCACTTTACTGTCAAGGAAGACGCCGAAGGAGTTGTTCACAACGGTTTTGGGGATGAATTGGAGGCACGAAAATCGTCTTTTCAAATCTGCATTTCTTTAGATGCCTTCACAAAAACATTAACTTTCAGGTTTTTCTATGCATGAGGAGTATCGGTGAACGTGAGAGCGACCCTATAAGTTAAGGTGCAGTTTAGACTGGCATAGTGGATGCCAGTCCATGTCACTCGTATTTGTCACATTCGTATTACTTCCTACAGATGAATTTAACTGCCATAATGCAATGGTTGATTGAAAACGAACTTTTTTATTACCGGACTCGATAGCTGATGGTCAACACAGTCACGCCTAGTGGCATGTGTAATTTACATCGGGATGGCGAACGGGATACAGACGACTGAGAAAACACCAGACGATGAGTTTTCCGTAACTGAAGCCGTAATAACGATTGAAAATAGTTCCAGTTCAAACTGGGTTTTATTGCTTTATTTTGAACTTTGAGAAGGCTACAACAGGTGACCTGTGATAGATGTTGAGTACTTCCCCTACTTTCAAAAAAGAGGCCGTTTCCCAGGGTACATGATTTCAACTTGTATTCCTGCCCAGCGTGATTCAGTGTGAAAACGGTTTCAAGAGCCCTGAGGTGACCTAGAATACTCATATCCACTTTTGGGATTGGACATGTGTCTGACCGACAACGGCCGTGGTTAACGGCTCTGGAAGATGGTTCTTCATCGTCCGTATACCAAACGTATCCTTTAAACACGATGGAGCTTCCGAGACTTGTTGAATCAAATGCGGAGGTATTGGAATTTCAGGTGTGTTTACATTCGTGCGTACAACATTGACAACACAAACGGTGGTATCAGTTTGTGGGATAAAATAATGTTGCGGTGTAAGTTAGGCATTTTAGTGATGAAGAGGAAACAGGTCGAATAAAACAATGGTTCATGGTTGTTTGGCAGGAGCAACGATGGCAACAATGGGAGAACGGGGATTGAAAACGAAAAACTCCATACTAAGGTCAAGTTAAGACTATGCTTACGTTTCCTTGACTAGATATGAGGCTTGCTGAGTATATATGTGAGAAGAAACAGGGGTGTAATGATTGTTTCCTGTTGCGTTGGGCGTATTCGAAAACTGTTGGTCTGTTTTGTGTGCAAAGAAAAACGACAAAAACAGAATGCCCAATATTAATTAGTACGTGGGCCAGTTGAGTGATGGCAAGGTGAGTCGCTGGGTGGTATATTGCCTCCAACGGATGACTTCGAATCTTACCGGAAACAACATACAAACCGGGAGTTTTGTCCCACAGTCTAGATAGTTTTATGAGGATATCTGGCGTATGGGTGATAGTACGTAAATTGAGTTTGACTTATCCCGGTTGCAGACGTTCTGGAGAGTCCACGGTCTGTATCCATTTGGTAGACCGTATGAGGATCCGAACCTTGTGGGCCTCTATTCGCATACTGTTGTTTGTAAAATCGTCCAGCTGTTTGCGCGAATTTTAACGGGCTGTCATTGGCCAGTTGGTTGACGGGATATCCATCGGATGATTGTAGTTTTTGAGCCCGTTTGGACTGCATCGAGTCCCCACTATTGACCCTATTCACATTCAAGTTACATCGGTTTTTGGCAGCCCTTCGAACAAACTTGTTCAGTCGTCGGCGCCAAGATTCGCGCCATGGAATGATAATACTGCTGGGATCCAACATCAGTTCCATTCGATTCCCGTGTGGAATCTGCGAGGAAACGTTTTGAAACGTATAGGATTATGCATTGTTTTATTTCATCACAGATGATAAGCTGAATGTTGGACGGATCCGAGTGGGATGCTCACTTAACGTAATCTTTCAATATACCGCCCTGCATGAATGGAGATCATTTGTGTTAATACGAGGCTGACTGAGTGCAAAGATATAATAATACGTAAAGACAACAAAGTACCGGATGATAACAAATGAAAGAAATGGCGTTCAGCTGGTTTCGCCCAGACAGTTTCTGTACAGTCCACGGAAAGCTTTTCTGTCGCCAGAAACCTACTGAACAAATGGGAATACTGAAATTCGATTTCAATTCTAGACAAAAATGGGCCACTCTAGCAAGAAAACGGAGCAATTGCCCAAAATGGCAAGTTGTTCTTCCTTGCTGGTAGTTGGGTGTAGAAAAAATCCTTGTATTCTTTCCGTACTCAGTGAAAAAGTGCCAAACATTGGTTTGCCGCCCGTTGGCAAAGATGAACAAATGCTAACAGAAAATTCTGTATTCCATAGTACCGTCGTAAATCTCTGCTTTTAACCGTAGTCTTATTTAAAAAATCAGTGCTGGTTTCCTTACTCAGTCATTTCCCAGTCAGTTGCTCGCGGAGGCCTAACTAGGGACTACTGCTTCCGCTAGGATGCGTAACTTCCAGGGCTGCATGAACCTGCGTCTGGTTATTTTGTGCGTATGGTGGTATGGACTACAGCCGAAAACGGGCATATTCAGCATTCGATGCGACTGCACACACTAGCCATGTATTGATTCGTGTATGGATTGTTTCCCTACCAGTTCTGTATATTCCTGTTTTCACACTTAGTCAGTTTTCACCAGCCGAATGCTTATCCAAACAAGTCAAACATCATTTGAGGTAAAATGCTTGTTTCCTAAGGTATCATTCATTTGTTTTGCGTACTTCAGATCATGATTTCCGAGGGATCGAAGATTTAAGCAATGTTTTAGTGTTTATTCGGTCCGTTTACTCCCGCTTTCCAAGACGGAACCGAACTATGGTATGTAGAATCACATGTTGCGTCAAAGTGGAGCTTCAGTTTCTTGCAAACAATCGATACGCGGTAAATTAATTTATCTCCGGATGACCCGGACCAGCTGTTTTGAATAAATTAAGGTTACGGGTGTTTCGGAAAACAATCGGAGAATATTAAACGCATTTTTTCCTGCATTGCTCGTTCATGACCCGAAAAAGATTTTTTTCATAAAATTTCACGAAATGTATTAAGGTAAATTGAAAATTTTTATAACGAGTATTAATATCTCACAGAAAAACTCTCTTCTGTCATGATGAATGACTCCAGTCATTAGTACTTGAGCTGTTCTATCAATCAGGTGTATAATCTCTACACGTCATGGATCCTTGTTTTGCCCTTACTGAAGTTCACTCGCAATGCTTTGAGCATTACGGCCACCTTGGCCTTAGAACCTTTTGGCTGTCTGATGGTATCAAAGTGAACATATGCTTTACTCACTAGTCGCATAATACTGAAAGGTTATCTTGATTGTCATATCCCGAGAACAACGAGTGTATCCCCACCAAGGTTTACTTCTGTTTTTTTGCAAACAAAAATGATTTCACAGGTAGCTCATCGGTTGATTTAACTTTCAGTATTCTGCTGGTCATCTGATATTTACATTGGTCATTGTTCTGCGTTCGTTCTGATTCAGTTTCTTATTGGCTACCTTGTGGTATTCAGCTTATCTTAGCGGTGGGCTGGTCTCTACTCTACATAGTGTCCTACATAGAGAGACGCCTCTAAGGAGATTTTATCCCCTGTAAAGCTTTCATATTATTGATTCATGTCAACGTGTTCGTCTTTTGGGATGGTCCTGGTTATGAACCATTCATACTGTGATTGTCCCGAGTGGTTTACCCAGTGGACACCCGTATCCTCTCTGCTAAGACCCTTTTAGTTTGTGCACATATGTTTGGTGCTCATCCAAACACAGGGGATGCGAAAGTTTATGACTGAATTGCAGCGGCGATTTCTAGCAGTGATGTGTATTCTAAGACATATTATACAAGTCGTACTTTTTTCGTGTTAGAATTGTTTTGATAGAAAGCGGCTCACATAAACCTACCTCATACGGCTGTGTAAAGAAAAGATAGGATTCGCCCGTTTTCAGTTCAGGACAAAGGCATCGGATGGCTGGGTTTCGGTTGTCACCGCCAATCAACTGGCTTTGTATCCACACGGGGAAAGGCGGTAAACTGTGTGAGGGCTTCTTCGGCAACAAATGTCCTGCAGCTCCGTCCACGCGCCAGGTCTCTCTGATGCGTATTTCGAATCGGGTCTTGTCTCCTTCTGCGCGGTATGATTCAACTTTGCCCATAAACACTTGAAATAAATTTATTGAGAGCAATGATTATGTATGAAGCAAACGAATTTTCTGGTGGTTGTGCGTATAGTAAACACTCTCGGCTGTGGGACTCTCACTAAGAGGCACCCATCGTTTAAGAACATTCAGAATCCTAAGAGGTTTGGCGTTCCTTTAAGAATAAAAGACACCTCGGTGGATCGAATAAGAGATGTTAAAAAGGCCCGCAGGAAGAGGAAACACTCATTCGGTGGCAGGATTTGTTTATCTAATATCTCCTCGCTATTCATTCATTATGGTGAACATGCTAGTGAATATATTCATGTTGCTAATGTTGTTTGACATCAGATTCTGAAGACAGACTGACTACACTTCCCAGTGACCAACCTTGTCTCAAGCTGATATTGTCGTATTGCCGCACCAGGATTTGTTGCCTTGATCAATCATCGATTGATCTAAAACAGGATGCAGTCATCCCCCAATACGACCAGTAGTGGGACCTGGTAAAACAGTTCCGTTGGGGATCCTTGTTTAGTGGAACTGACCAAATCCCCAGTCCATTTTAACAACCAAACGAATCTTCAATTTTTATACATCACACGATGTCCGACTATCCATTAACACTTCGACAGTGCGCTAATGGGCTGTGGATGAACTCGGACGTTGTGCTGAAACTCAGCGCGATCTCGGGACCTCACCAATAAACAACTAGCTGCTGTCAGTGCCTGTCTCTATCATCACATTTAAGCTGAATAACTGCCTTTCGCAAACCTCGACACGTCTACTCACCAATCTCCATGTCTCTCAGGCCAACGAATTTCATGCAGTATCATATTTGGATCTTATAAAGTCGTCCGTCCATGCCAAACCAAATGCGTGTGTAAGTACAGGTGTCCAGTGATTGGAAAACTAGCGACCGGCAAAACCGGGTACAGAATCTGCCATTCATAACCTCCAACAAACTACGATGACACTCTACATTCTGAGTCAGGAGAGAGGTTATATGCTAGTTTTGCCTTGTCAAACAGAAATATGGTAGTTGACAGTCATACCCGAATTTTCTACAGTTGCAAACAGTCATAGCATGCTGTGCCACTGCAGGTTGAAACGGAACCACAAGCGTTCCACTCACATGTACCAGCAGAGACCTTCAAAAAATTTATGTGAACTCGGGAAAATACAAACTTATGGAGGATAGGAGAGAACCAGTCGTAAAGAGACCAATGCATCTAGCTGATGGATACTGCTCAGCATTGCAAACGTTGAAAGCTAAAGAGATGTATCATGCAGTGCACGCATTCGGTGCTCTGGCGACCACATGACACTCGATTTCAAAGTAAAATCGCCGTTATTGTGTTTGCTCTGTATGATGGTTATCGTAGAATGAGGTAAATATCACCAATCAGCCTCGTCACTCCTAATATTGCAGTGTTTTAACGCGGACAGTTGTGTGTGAGGACAGATGAACTACTACACCCAAAGGTGTTTTGCTTGAGTGGGCTGACGGCCCGCATCGCCAACGATCTACAAAGATGACATACAGACACATTTTTGTCAACCTTAAAAGTGTCACCTGCGTAGACTGTGTTCAGTAGTTGATCTATGCGGGAAAGTTGCTACCTCTGACCACAAAAAACAAAAGACACTCATGTTTACGTCAGATGAATATAGCAGAATGATCGATGCATCACGTTCTTATTTCAAGTTTCATTCATAGACCATGCAGACCTGCGGTTGCTGAAAATGACCAGCATTTTATTATGATATGGTTCATGTCTCACCCAGATTTTTTGGGTAAACTATTTAATGACGGCTGATTAAGCTCGTATTGGCAAACTCGTTGTCCACTCCCGGATAGCACACTCTTAAACCGATACCGCCGAAAATCGATATCCTCGGAGATCCTGCCTATCCATCCTAAATAGTTGAAGTTTGAGTCTTCCTTCCATTTTAGGTTCAGTTAGTTCTAAAGTTACATGTTCAACACGTTTTGCAACACAAGCTCTGCAGGTATTTCGAGAAATTCTATCTTTACGGAGAGTTGAGTTGCAATCACACAGACCAAAAGCGTTCTGGAAATCTGCTGTGAGTGGAGCAGCCCCCCAACTGGCAGTTAACGCATCGTTCACTAAAACTGCTGAGTGCTGCGAGATCATTTGTAAGTGATGTGGGGCCAGGAACTGAATGTTGGACTGAGTTTCTTTTATTCGACTAAAAATTGAAACTTCTTCGTATAATGTACGACACAGAGGATACCAGGAGATTCCGTTGCAACGATATTTGATACATTTTCCATCGTGGGATATAAGTAGTGTAAAAGCACTTTTTAAATCTGCAGACTTTAAGCAATTGTCTCATACTCATTGTGCCACTGGTTCGTCCATGAGTCAAATAGACGGAAGATACGGGCCAGCATGGCGTTTTTTTATCGCATAATCAGGAAAATACATACACTCGAAGTCATTGTTCTGCTCATTTGACCAGATTCGGGACTGAATGAAAGTTGTTACAGCGTCTAGCTGAATTTCACAACTGATGTCATGTACCCTTTTAGGGATATGTGACTTACCAAAATTTTCAATATCTGGTGTAGTAATTGCTAAGACACCTCCGTCTATTAACTTCGCGGACCTTTTAAAGGAAAAATTTACCCATCCAGAAACAAAAAGTACTACAGAAACATGGCCGGGAACACGGACCCCTGCGTAATGGGTGTTCAAAAGAGGATGACGTCTTTGAAGAACTGATGAAATGCCTGAGTGCGTTGAAGTTTCCTCAGCAACTTAACTGAAATACCCGACGAACAGCCCAGTTAGGTCTTGGTCTTTCGACCTGAAACTAATTTCGGTTGAGTGAAGTAAAGCTTAGATTTATAGCTGAACTGGTAGAGTTCATCCTTCATTTTATTGAGTGGTAGCCGTGCTAGGGAAAGTAGCTGAATTTGAGACCAATTCAAGACAGTTTTCCATATATTTCTGCCGTTCTCCTTCGGCAACAGTGAACTCGCAGCAAAAGTAGCCTTCAAAGTACCACGAAAATCTAACCTAACACAGTATAGTTGAGGGAGTTGGACTTGCATTGAAGCAACAGGGTTCCCATAGCTAATTCGAAGTACAACCATACGGTTGATTTGGTATTCTCTTCGGCAGCTGAGGTGTGTAGTACCTCAGTGTGTTCTATGCCCGACTGTACAACTGATAGTAATTGTGTGATTATGGGCAAGTCTGTTGCCCAATCAATTGAGCATCCTCCACAAGTAGACACCTCTAATAGTTCAGCTTATGATCTACAGTGACAGCATATTTTTGTGCAGATGCTAGCTGACGTGAAGAAGCTGATTAAAATATGACGTTCAAAGGCTGTGGAGCTACCAGAAAACAGGCTTAAAGCAAATGGCCCGTTTTTCAGGCGGAGAATGACTTGTAGTTGGACAATTGTTCACTCTTCTTCCAATATGACCAATCAACTCAACATCCTTGTAGTGGGCTTCCTTTTTTGGACTTGATCAACTGTAGGGTGTTCTCTGTCCATGTTGTAAAATTCTTTCAACCCAGGCGATGGTGGGTAAAATCTCAGCAACATCCATAGCATTCTTATTCTGAATACAAGGATCTGCCTGCAGGCTAGATTTTTTTCGTAAGAGCCTACATAATGAGGCATGTTTACTGACTAAGAATATACCATTTGTTCCACCCAGCGGTTACTGTGCTACTATTAAAGAGTCATCAGACTGTTATTCATTGTAGCCTGATGTCTGTCAGCCGTTATCTTGGTTTAATAAAGAATTGTCTTGTTTTCTTCCTTTGGTTTTCGTAAATCGGCTGTGAAAACTTTGGACTGTGAGATTGGAAAATGCATCTTGCGGTTGATCTACAGTGAATATGATGGTTGATTGATTAGAATACCCTTTGGCAAAAAAGCACAAGAACACCTGATAATACGTTCTTCATAGGGTTGCTGAAATCCCCTTGTCATCCCAGTACAGGTTTCCCACTACTTGAGACTCATCAAGTAAGCTCAGTCATCAGGTTCCCATCAACCTAATGTTCCGTTCGGTCATCAAATTGTATCCAAATGGCAAAATAAAGCCAGTTGCAACTCAAATGATATCCAGCAGGGTATCTCGTTTATGATGAGTTGTATACAATTTGGGGTTCAGGTGGAACAATATGTTGACAGTAACTCGGAGACTGCGCTTACCTGAGAAGCCCCAAGAAAGGCATACTGGTCGTGGGCTGTCGAAGAGTCTTTAGCATTGACACGCGTGAGGAACAATATGTTGACAGTAACTCGGAGACTGCGCTTACCTGAGAAGCCCCAAGAAAGGCATACTGGTCGTGGGCTGTCGAAGAGTCTTTAGCATTGACCGACACGCGTGAGGTCTTTGTGAAGCACATCCGACCGATAGCTACCATAAACGAGAGGGCCAACTGGAATGAAGTTGAGCCTCTTGTGAATACTATCCCGATTTGCAAACGCGTATACTTTGGAAATTGGAGGAGTTATTTCTTCGCAGCTTTTTGCTTCCAATATAAACAGTCAGGCAGATTGAATTACTGAAAAAGCCGAGGTTTAGGGGCGAGCCTTTTTCATCCAGGATACAAAACATTATCGAATGTTGACAGAAAGTTCGTGTACGTTGACATGAGTGTCTAAATCCTACGGTCGATAGGTTGGGTACTAAAAAGTTATCACATGTTTGGGTTTAATGTGAAATCCTCCAGTTCCTTACACTTCCGTGATGTGATTTAGAAATTTCAGCCGGTCCGTGAATTGGCAGTTGGTAAGACTGCCAAGCTATGGGGTGGAAAAATTACGTGGATTTTAGCCACATTTGAACTTTGTCCTTTGGATCCGAGTCCCTTTTTTTCAAAACTTTATTCAAGTGCATCCCGCTACTCGTCAGCTCGATTTACCTAAACATGATATCGACACGCACTTTGTTTAGTTCATACTGAAGTGCTTCGCACCGCCGTTGAGTGAATAGTAGTTCCTACCTCAAAACTTCAAGATGTTTTGA